AATTATTTCTTCAATTGTGTTTGCTGACAAAACTTTATGACAAAACTTTATGATGGCAGTACAACCAAACTACAGGAAAAGGAAAATTTTCTTTTTTTGCACTGGAACCTACAAATTTACTAGTATATTTTGAATTATAGGCCTTTTTTATCCGCAAACTTGGCAGATTTTAGGCCATCTGGCAGGGCTATTGGGTTGTGCCACACTCAATGTATTGACTAAAGATGGGTGACCCTTAGCAACATTAAATAATGTGTATATAATGACTCAGCCCTGAATAAAATACAGCTGAATTCAAATCTCAGTTGAGATATATCTGTTAATAACAATTGACTATCATAAAGAGAAGTAGAAAATTTTTCAGCATTAAAACAAATATCAACATGGAAAACAAAATTTAACTTTTCTATAAAAGCAATTAAAGGACTTCAGCCACATTTTTGTATCTTCTGCAAATATGATTCAAATGAAAAAAAAATGTATATAATATTTTATCCCTCATGAAAATGTATCAGGCAAAACCTTAAAAATGTGTTTCAAACTAGCAATTTATATATTTATGTTATTGGGAGGAAAATGCTCAAATGAAATAGTTGTCTTTTTAAGGGCAAAGTTCTTATTGCTGTTAGACGACTTGTTGTTTTGAACTTTTGTTAATAACATTGCTGGAAAAGATATTTTTTACTTATTTTATTATCAGGATTTGTTTAATAAGGTCAAGCTAGTAAACAGAAATTGTAGGTCCTGGGCAACTAAAGTAGTCAGTTGAAGCAGTCATGTGGCACTGAATACAAGATATCACCTCACACCTGTGATATGCTATCTTAAGTTTGTCAAGATTCAAGAATGATTTACAAGTTAATCCTGAAGCTATCATAGATAAACTTTCTGAGCACCAATGGGTGCCAGTTTCTATCAATTTTTGCCAACTAGCTTCTCAAATGAAGCTCTAGAACTAAAACATATACAAATGCCCTTTGACAATTAACAAATTTTAGATTTGCTTCTCAGTCAATGCAAATATGGGTAATCATTATAGGCCTTTATTCCAAGCCTTAGCTGATGCAGCACAGTGCTGGTTAGACAACATGATAAATTTTACATACCAGTTGAAGTTTGAACAGTTTAACATCAGATCACATTCAATCAGATTCAAAGGGACTGTGAAATTAGAAGCTCCCTAACTGGAAAGTATGTGAGGTAGAAGAAGGATAGTTTGTAATGGAAGATTGAGAGACTGGAAGGATAAGATGGGACATTATATACATAAAAACCTGTCTTTGCATGCAGCCATTTGTCCTGAAATGTCACTAATATGATGATGGCAATAAGATATCTAATGAGCATTCGAGTACTCCAGTAGTCCAGTCATCAGATGACAATGAAATCTGTCATCCAGAGATTATGTCATCTTTTGGCATAATCTTTGAAATCCTGGGAAAATGGATTGTTATTCAAGTGCAGCATTTGTTTTGTAAATTAAAGGGAATTTCTAAGATTCTCCAAATAATGCATATAAGTGTACAGTTCAATACTTTGAATTGAAATATTGAAATTTTACCAAAATTTTTGGCTAAATTGACTCTAAAGGGATAACAAATGTTTTTGCAAACTATTAGGAAAATATAGATTTGAGATAAATGTGCAGCTTCTAAAATGAGTTTGCAGCTTTAAATTTACTTATCATGGTTTGTAAATTGAATTTGTGGCTAGAAACTTTTCACACCTGCAAAAATGATGATTTTATGGCTATAAAAATATAATTTTTTCATAAAAATAGACATTTTCCACTCTAAAATGAATTTACAAAGTACAATAGCATTAGGGCTAGGTATGCAAATTTTGCAAACTGACAATCCCACAGATTGAGCTGATTATTATATATAGATTTAGGTACCGTAAAATGAGGTAACTTTGACCGGCGGGGTAACTTTGACCACTTTTCGTTTTTTTAACAAAAACCCCCAAAACTCAAAAACGATTCGACATAGAAAAATTTTGCCAATGGCCATCAAAGGCCTAATACTGAGGCTACGTAACACAATAGAAAGATTTAAAAAGTTTGCATATCTAATAGATGACACTTTCCTAAAATTTTTCTTTTGCATATGTAACTAGAAGAGTTCTACTACAATGCATGGAGTTATTTGGAGTTATTTTACCAAAAAATAAAATTGATTTTACCACCCGGTCAAAGAAACCCCAAGAGCTGGGGTAACAAAGACCATCACTTTTTTTTTAATAACATCAAAACTATGAGAGGCAGGAGCCAGCAATCTATGGTGAGTAAAGCTAGAGTATAGACCTGTATTTTGCATGTTTCAATTTAAGTTTAACTTATCTAGTAAAAAAATAGCATCATTTTGAAAAAAAAGTGGTCAAAGTTATCCCAGTTTACGGTACCATAAATATCTCTAATAAAAAGTTTTCTCTGAGAAGCCTTATTCATATCTTGAGAATCTTATAATCAAAACTGATTGATTGAACCCGCTTCATGAATGAAGATATGGGCAAAAATACGCATGGGATCATAACAAAGGGCAGACCTAAAATTTTTTATCTATGACATATTGTATGTTTTTTCTTTTCATCTTTATACTTACCTAACTGCTCTTATATCTAATTCAGTCAACTTTTGTTTAGAAATGAATAAAGGAACTTCTAATTATACAAGGTCTATCTTTCACTTAATATACATGGTTTCCTTGTTTACTTGTGCTGTTGTGCCGCTGTGTTTTATTGAGTATTATCAAAAAGGAGTACAAAAAGTATGCATAATGTGGGCTTTCATTATTGAGACCTTTTTTTCATTGTAATATATTTATTTCATTTTTTTTATTTAAATTTGTTTACAAGATTTTATTATTTTTTATATAATCGCAGTGTTCTTTAATTCCAAATTTGGCCTTACTAAATTTGTTAGATTGCCACACTTTTTTTTATCAAATTTGCTGATTAAAATGCAATAACTATGAATATTTCTCCACAAGATGATTTGAACTGTGTAAGTAATCAGAAATAGTCAGCCTGGCCAGAATAGCTTTGATTCAATCTTAATTTATGAATTTTCAGTTGCTGCTTTCCAAACATGATAAACATTTTTTTTAGTTGAAATGCAAAAATTGAGATGGCAAAAGTTGAAAAAGCAACTGGAATGGCCCAATGGGCAACTTTTGGTCCACTTCTGGACCAATTTCAGAGATAAATTTTGTTTCACTTAGAATTCTATTAACTAATAGGTAAGCCAAAATAAGGCAGCATTATTTCATTGAAGGCAGCTTCATTGAAGAGCACCGACTGCGACTAAATCATGAACCTTCTAGTCTTGTACTAGCCTATGCCCTATAATAAGCATGAGCTCATTGAGCTGCATTGCTGCAATGTACTTCGTCAAAACTCGGGACTTGTCGCCTTATTTAGAGAATACCACATTGCCGCGGCGCGAAACGTAGCTTGATGAAACCAAAACATAATGTAAATAATATACTTTGATCAAACCACCAGATAAGTAGATGAGAAATAAATAAATAGGGACTAAGATCTAATGTAGACGAGGTATAAAATAAATAGAGACTAAGATCTACCTAATTATGTTGTCCAGCAAGGACGATTCGGTATAAGTTGCAATCAATTCGCAGTTTCAAGGACTAAGTTATCCTGCAACTTTAAAACTTCACGTCTAAAATACGTAACACATGTAGATAAATAAACACGTACCTTGGTTTTGACTTGAACATACGCCAACACAACTTAATACTATACCTAAAAAAACGATACATTTCCGTGAAATAAGAGACATTTCGGCAACAGAACCGACTAATCACATGAGCCACAACCACACGCCATAATTGTTTCGGTACAACTGAAGATAAACGCAACACGATGTCCCTATTTTGCTCAACATGTTGCCAGACTTGCCATAAATATCAGGAAAACTATTAGTATTGCATGTAGATTTTGCATGAAAAAATAAGTGTAGTTTAAAATACCAAAAGCAAAAATATTTTGAGATACACATGAATATATCGTGTAAAAGCATTATCAACCGAACTATAATGAAAGAAAATTCTACCGCGTTGTTCAAACAATAAAGCGATTAAACGAAGCGCCCATGGAGGGCAATTTTACGTTTCTATTTTCTACTCTTTAATTACATTTTAACTCCAAAAAAATTATTTCGATAAGAAATCGAATAAGCATGGCCAATAAAATAATTACCCATGTTAAATAAGAGGACGATCAATTACGGTTGTAGTCACGTTTCGAATGAATAAGATAAACGCTCTAAATTATTTCTCTGAGGAGTAAGTAGGCAGCAGCTAAAATTAATTGAGAACAGCTACCTAAGCCTTGAGAGTTGAGACAGACACTTTTGAAAAACTCTGCAGTTCAACGGTAGTTACTTCGCACAAGTCGGATGCAGGAAAATTTAAATTAGAATCTACAGAGAAAATAAAAGCCTTCCCCCTTAAGTATTCCTTCCTTCGAAGATATTAGATAAAATCTCGTCAGAAAACACGCGGATGCACTCTTACAAAGAAGATGAAATAAAATTCGAACGTTACTCCAAATTCATGCCACAATAGACAATAAAATGACACTCAAAATTTCCTATCATTATCTGCATAACATGTAATGATTAAAAGTTTAAGCCAAAGGCACGATGGAGAATTATAAATCATCTGACCCCGTAAGTAACGTATATTAAAAAAAATCCTAATAAAAAAACGAGCGTTTGGCTTGTATAATTGAAGTTGTGGTTGTGTTAAGTGACGTAAGAAATTGGTTGCCAGCGCCGAGTACGGAAACCTCGTCCCCGAACGACGTCGGGACGAGAACTTCCCATTTCCTTATTGGTTGACTTTAAATGCTAAGCTCCTGATGACAGAGAAAAGAAAATTTGGTGGTTCAATGGAAAGGATAAGTCGCGTGTCGATGAAGTTCGCGAAATTGGTGTTAGCGAAAAAGAAGAAACTTACAGGGAAATTAAAAAATATAACCACTGTTGGTAATAAAAACCGCTCTATATTTGATTTTACTTCAATCTTACAAGCGTATGAATACTTCGCTTCAAAACAAATCTACATTCAAGTATTATATAGAAGGATACATTTTTTTCGAGTTACACATATTCAATTATTTATGCATTATTGATTTGAACGAAGTTTTACGATACAATGATGGTATAGTAACAATCGGGAACATTTTTGACGCATAGCGTTGAAATTTCCAAGTTCAAACATGCCTATATGAATTTGAAAAATTCTGTTCACTAACCCTCAAAACTTGTCATCGTCTCGTGCTTTTTTATTATGACAAAGATCAATTGCATTATACCCGGGATTAATGTGTTGTGACGGTGGAAGCAGCTCGACAGGATATAAGTCGCCCAGAGTGGACTTCCTGGCCACCTGCCGGCACAGCGTGCCGTGCTTTCCTTTAGAGGCGCAGAGCTCCTGCAAGTGACCAAACTTATTACAAACTCTCACGATCACGGAGTCAGATTTGATGACTGGCTGTATGATTCGCGGCCAAGTGATGAGCGTGTCTTCCCGCGTTTCAAGCTCTTTGGGTTTTTGCACGATCAAATAACTGAACACTTCAAGAAGGGGGTCTGGATACTCCACTTCTTGATACAGCTGAGAGTCGGTGCAGATGCGGTATTTGGGCTGTTTGGCTAGGAGCGGGCACGCGTTCTGGTGAGGACACGGAGCAATGATGCGGCCACGCAGTCGACTAGACGAAGTGTCGACCTTAAGACCTTGCATGAGGAAATCCCTGGCCTCGAGGGTTAAGTGGCAGCCAGAGGCACGACCACCTTCCACCAGCACCAAACAACCCCCGGGCATCACTGTCTTCCATAAGATATCGAGCGTCCTTAGTCTCATGTCACGACTGCCAATTTCGAAAAGCGTGCGGCTGCACACGACCAAGTCATGCTTCAGGCTGCCCGTGAGGGGCAGGAAGTGGCGGAATGATGTCGAATTTTTTCTCCGAGGCAGCGGAAGAGAGGCAAGGCCTCCGCGCAGTAGTACATCGTGAAGCTCGTGCATGGCGTTGCTGGGGTCGACGTTCACAACTTCTTTGCAGGACTTGGGCCACGTCTGATCGACCGCCCTGCGCAGAACAAGTCGTCAGCACAAGCATACAATGTTAACGATGGTGAAACTGACAAAGATTATGAGGTTAACACGTCTAGTTAAATGTAACTTAAATTTCATTAGAGCTATAGAAACTGGACGCTAATGGAGAAAATTTAAAAGAAAAATTTACATAAAAATAAAAACCAAGCACATTCGAGAAGGTACCGCTAACGCAACAACGGCTTACAACATAAGAAAATTATTCAATAAAATACATGAAAAATCAATCTTTATTCATTAGTACGAGCTACGAATAAGATTACTCAGCACACGCTATTATTAGGGTTCCTCAGTAGGCGCCACCTTTAAGATAACTTTGCATGCATTGCCATCAAGATACATTAGTACCGTACAAGTTATCGATAAGTTATCCAGCATGGGTTACAGATGTAAGCCATGTAATGTACTAACTCACCAGGTGGCACTACCGACACCAGAGCCAAAGTCTAGCATGGTGGTAGGCATGAATGTAGGCAGAGCGCAGCGCAGCTGGTGGAAGACCTTCATGAGGGCAGCAAAGTCTGGCGTCAGACGGGCCATCATGTACAGCAGCGCACTAAGCACAACACAGCTCATGAGAAACGTAGTACTTCTTGCTTCAGAGAAATTAACAAATTAGACAATAATTGAAGATTTGCAACAAAATAAAGTATTTGAGCTAAAAACGGCATGAAACAAGTTTTCAAGTAGTAAAGAGTTTTAGTATTTTAGAAGAACATATAAAGAGCCAGCATGAGACACGTTGAAGTTTTTGGTTTAGAGAAGAGATGTCAGACTATGAAATATTTACAACAATTGCAAGAATTTGAGCTGAGAAAACGCAAAACAAGTTTTTAGCTTTGTGGATTCAAGAATAACATAGAAGCCATACCTGCCAGTAATTTAGCACATAAATATCAAACAACAACACTTTATTGCCATAAAAAAAATATTCCGAGGAAAATCAAGATTTCCTCATGCTGCTCAACAAGCAAGGTTTGTGTGTGTGATCATTTTCCCTGAAAAAAAAAAACATCGTTGAAGGTAGGAGTTATCCATGCAGTGATGTATGACAAGTGTGTCCTGAGGGTATGACAAGTGTGTCCTGAGAGTATGACAAGTGTGTCCTGAGGGTATGATGATGTGTATGATATTTGGAGGCAGATTATAAAGATTGAGTACAATGGATGAGCATGAACTTAAAAATAATCAATATTGTAGCAAAGGAGTTTAACTTCAGCTAAAACACTGATTAATATTTTGTATTAATTACAGATAATTATGTGAAAACTTACAAGCATTTGAATCATATCAAAAACCTAACTATGCTATGATAAATTTCCATAATATACACTGCTACTAAATTATATCAATGAATAGGGAAAATGTACAAAGTCATAAACATTATATTGTTTACCAAGATTTTATCCTTTTATTCCATGACAGAACAACTTTAACATGAACCCTAAAGAAACTTTAAGTGTTTTAATACAATAGATACCTACTATATCAAAGAACAAAGTAAACTTGGAGAAATAGGTGTTTTTAGCGCTTTTTCTAATTTATGGAAAAAATGCACTATTGTGCTCGCCATGTCCGTCTGTCCGTCCGTCTGTTTGTCCGTCCGTGACTTCACGTTTTTGTAGACGAGAAAATGCGCTCTCTGTCACTCACTGCAGTGAGTACCGAGTTAGATTTTTTTTAATATACATACATCATTCAACTAGGAGCCTGTTTGCAGATAACCTGACAAAAATTTTAAGCTGTGCTATGTTTGCTCTTTTGTTACTTTTAGAGCCTGTAGGAGAAAAGAGTAATCCTAGATGAATTACCCACTAATTTTGTCACGTGTGTGGCTCACAAAATTTACTACAAAAATTACCAGCTAAAAAAGTTTCTAAGGCAAGGTTAAACTATGCTTTCCTTCTGAACATTGTTAAAATGTTAGATTAACCTTTCAGGAGTTGAAAAATCAAGAGGCTGATAATTGTATATCTCGTTTCGTATCTTCTCCTCCAAACGCTTCTTTCTCCCTTCAAAAAGAGCCTTCCTGTCTTCCTCCAGCACAGCCTCATCTTCGGGACATACAGACTCTGCAACAAGATGCAAATTACACATCAATGTCAACAAATATTGCCCGACAGGACAAATACTTAAGGTGGTTGAGCACCCTCAGTAGTGTTTTCCTTCATCTATGAAGTTTCCACTGTATCACGAAGAAGAGAAAGAAGAAATAATGTCAGCTGCAACTTTCAGGGCCCAATGTAACATGTGCAGCCTCACTAGAAAATAGGTCAACACTAGAAACACAATAATGTTAGTTAATTAATGCAGAAAGCTTCCACTAGTGAGTACCAAAACAAAACACAATATAATTTTTTGGTTTACAGTTCTTCCCGAAGAAATATGTAACTGCTACTAGTTCTTTCCTACTTTCAAGCTCAATATCAACAAACATATTGAGTCATAATCATGAAACAATAGCAATAACAGCAGAGAAGCTTTTAGATAGCAATACAAACTTGTCAGCTGACCAAGAGTTATCATTAGAAGAAAATTTGAATTATTTCCAATAAAATTTTTACTAATATTTCTCATAACAGACCTTGTGATACAATTTCTCGAAGAAATTCTTTCCGTTTCTCTTCCTGGACTCTGAAGTCTAGAGGCAGAAGCCTCTCTCGAATTTTTCTCTTCAACTTCAAGGCCTCCTCATGGAGATCTTTTGATTGCCCAGCAGCTAAGAGACAGAAAATAATTTCAACATGATATCATATTGGCAAAATACTTATTTTTTCACATTTTTGTGTTAAAGCTTTAAATACTGAAGGAATATTGAACTTAATCGATAATTCAATATTATTAAGCAAGAAGGATAGAAATTTGAATGAACTGGATCTAATATGCAATTGTCAATGGTTCAGGAAAACACATCATAAATTTTACCTTGGATAATGGACCTTCTAGCACTCATAAGTTCATCTGGCAAGGATATTGTGGCAAGTTTTCTTCTGCCAGGATGTTTCCCAACACCAACTTCAGAGATCAATTTAGTGGTGGCTTCACTCAGGAAATATGCAAATGTAGGTCGGCCATCAACATTAACTTCTTTGTCTCCATCTTTCATTGCAACAGCAAACTCATCAAGAACCTTGGCTGTCTTGGTGGAGTGAGATGGAGAAGGTGCAGATGCAGAGGCTTTATTAAGAGCCTGCACCAATGTGCTTTTGTAGCAGCCAACTGACTGATGGCACATACATGACTGTCAAGAAAACACTATTAGAAATTGTAAATAATTTTGTTTAAATAATAATTATTTGCAAACATGAGCAACAAATTTTATAGAATATTAGCAAACAACAATCAAGTTTTGATCAACATAATAATGGTGTAATTTGTAGTTATTTCGGAAAATTAAGACAGATTTTCATAACAAATTACCTTTCTTAAGAGTGAAGACAAAAGTCTTGTGTGAGACTTCCTCATTATTATTTCCATATTAAAACAACCAAATAGCAATTCACAGAACACAGAGTGCTCAGAAACAGAATATTAAGCTAAAGTGATAAACTGAGCTTAAATATCTGGTAAATAGTTTCAAAATTTAAAGCATAATAAAAATTATGGTTCAAAATTTTAATCCAGGGCCATAATTCCTGTCTTTTGATTAAATATTGTCATATTAACACCTGATGCTGACAAGGTGTAAGGGAATAGTTTCTCATAATTTTTCTACTGCCTGATTAAGATCTATATTTTTAAGGAATTTCCCCTTGCACAATGATTTTCCTGAAAAAAATGGACGGCGCAGTTTATGCATGACAATCTGTCGATCTCAATCTGGTAAGTTAGCACCAATGTTTGCACAGTCTATGTGGTCAAGTAGAGGCATCAAGGCAGCAAGCATTAAATGCAGCTCATCGATCAACAATGGGTGTAGGTAAGCACAGGAATAAAAAAGGCCTGTCCACACACTCAAATTTATCATCAGCCTTGCATCAGTTGCATGTCATGCTGGGTTTGACTGACAGTCTTGCATGATGATTGGGCTTAGTTTGAGGTTTGACAAACTTGGAAAAGATGGATGAGCAAGACCTTTGGGTTCATGCAAGACTGGCAGTAAGTTTCAGACTTTGAGTGTGTGGACGACTGGACGGGCAACTAATCGGTCAAACTTTTACTCAATCTCAGTGTGTAATGATGTTGAGACTTAACATAAACATAACATAGTGATGTCGGCGCTGAAGTGTAGGCCTGATGTGGCCTGTCGCCGATTCTTTTTGCTGGGAGCTGGGACATGACTTCAGAGCTGGGACATGATTCCTCACTAGCTCTAATTTTCCATATCTCAAGATAACCAATAAAGGACCAACATTGGTTCCATGATTTCTTTTGACAAGTTTATCAAATTATATCGTAGATTCCCTCGTTTGTGGTAAATTCAATCAAAAAGCTACAGTGACAACTTGACAAGAATAACAGAGCACTGGCCTATGCAGCATTGACTATGAAGCCTGAAGGGCAATTATATGCAAATAAGTTGATCCTGCAGTAAATAAAGACTTTGTAATGGAGAAATAAAGTCTTTTTTCAAAAAATGTGCCAAAATGAAGTTGTACAAGTGGCCTGGTGCTGGTATCGTGGAATGGAATATGGATGCTGTCCCTCAATCCTCATTGTGGTATTTTTAAAAGCATTTCTTTTTGGTAGTCTGGACCACCGTGTACCGGCATCCGTTTGCATTGCTTATGCTTAAACCTAATTTTGGTGGCACAAACTGCAATCACTGCAGCAAGAAGTACTAGCTCCCAAATTGCCAAAAGTGCAAAAGACTGAAGGAAAGTTTGAATAGAAGAATTATGTGAACACTTGTCAGTCAAACTTTGGCATGGCATGCATGATGCAATCATGCAAGACTGATGATAACTCATAAGTTTGAGCATGTGGATGCCGGACAGCCAGGATGGGGAGTCAGGGCTTAAGACCACGTCATCACTCATCTCACAGCTGCAGCTGTTGGCAGCAGGGGAGCAGCCGAGCAGCAGGCATTGAACAGAGTGCACTTAATAGTTAATAATAAGGCATGTGGTGGTCTCAAACTTTCATTTAACCATAGCCTTTTTTTTACATAATACTGCTGCACTGCATAGGGTAAACGCAGTATATTCCAACACATTAAGGACGTAGCAAGAAATGAATGGCTATATAAATATCACCGTTTGCGCAACTAAAGTTCTGATTGGTTTACGTCACTCTCAAAACACCACACTATGCGCCAGCAACAATGAAACATCACAAACTGTTGCCATATTTATATAAAAGCCTTTAGAATTCAAACCTACAAAATCCCTGAATTCCGACGCTGTGTGTGACTAAATTCGGCATATTGTATAATTGCGAGACTAATTCCGGCAGGGCTTCAAACTCTATTAATTTGTAATTCTGGCGCCCTGTGTTGGAATTCTGACGCCCTGTGTGAGCTGTATTGGAATACGACACAGCTCAAAATGTTCAAGCTTAATTACAAAATTTTAATTTTTTAATTAAGCTTTCAATTAAGAGCTATTAAGCTTTTAATTATGAAAATTTCAATTTTTGGACACAGCTCAGAACGAGCTGTGCGTGTCTAATTCCAAGCTGTGTTAGAATTAGTTTTATGTGTCTAAAACCGTCGCTTAACTTAATCATCTATTAATTTATTTACCACTTGAAATCAGCAAATACAAGTATACCGTCAACCGGGGCTACTCAGGACAGTTTTGAGCGTTTTTTTGTTAATAACTGTTAATAGCTTCTTACAATGAAACATTTTATAGCATGAATAATATACAATGAAACATTTTATAGCATTTTATAGCTCTTTGCAAGGGCTAGGCTATCGAATGGCATCGTCAAAAAAATTTCATATGCTATTCATAAGGTGCCAGAAGCAAAATAAAAAGTGTCCGGAGTAGCCCCGTCGAACGGGGGCTACTCGGGTCACTTGCAATAAAACTTCATTTTAAAATATTTGAAGCATGCAGAGTGTACTCATCCATTACTAACAGTACTCTGAAGTCTCCCTCTTTCATTGTAGATGATGTAGAGGAAGAATAAATGACATTTTCAGTGATTTTTACTTGTTTTTCCTTTACTGATGATATTACCATAAACATTAATTACCGTCAACTGGGGTGACTTCAGTTACTTGCAATAAAACTTCATTTTAACATATTTGAAGCATGCAGAGTGTACTCATCCATTACTAACAGTACTCTGAAGTCTCCCTCTTTCATTGTAGATGATGTAGAGGTAGAATAAATGACATATTCAGTGATTTTTACTTGTTTTTCCCTATCCATTAACCACTGGCAGGGTGGCCCAGTGGTTAAAGTTCAGAGTATCAAGATTGGCGCAGAGAGGCGCGGGTTCGATCCCAGCTCTGTGTGCCAGTTTCTGGTCAGAATCGGCAAGGAGGCCGGGCGGTTAAGCACAGCAGAATTTGAAGCAGTGAGTTGCAAGTTTCAAGACCGCAACAAGCTGTGTAAGTTCTGCGATGTTAAGAATCGGCGACAGGCCTACGGCCTAATAAACGCTGAAACCGCTATTATATATATATATATTATGCCATTGAGCATTTACAACAACCTTGTTCACTGCAAGCTTCATATCAGCAGCCTTATAGCATTTTTTTGTATCTGTAAGCTCACAGGACGGCTTATAATTTCACACCATTTTAATTGGGTTGAGTGAATTTACTATAAAAATATAACTCAGTACTCACTGAAGTGAGTGACAGAGAGCACATTTTCTTGTCAACGAATACTTGAGGTCACAGACAAACGGACAGACGGACGGACAGACAGATAGATGGACATGGCAAGCACAATAGTGCTCGTTTATGCGCCATTTTAATTGGGTCAAGTGAATTTACTATAAAAAAAATTGTGAAAAACATACCTGAAACAGAAAGGAATGTTTTAGTGACAACCATAATATATTTTGGAGAAATAAATCATAGTTTAGGTCAATTACTTTTCATTCTACGATGCCCGGTGCACAATTATATATATAGCATTCTATGTACAATTTTGTGATGACCGATGATGCACTAATTTTTCGATAAGTGAAATTATTTTCGCCGAGCGAGGTAAATGTAATCAATATTCTTTGTTTTTAATCCTTTTTTTCTTAACTGGACTCTTTGCTTACTGAGGTTCTACTGTGAATGCGTTTTTGGGGGTGTCCCGAATAGCCCCGGGGGGGTGTCCTGAGTAGCCCCGCCGTGCGGAAATGGCCGCCATTTTTTTTTGGAATGAGATAGGACAATTACGTTTTCAAGCCAACACCAGGGTGCATCTTTTATGTAAGTAAAATTTTTTAATACGGCAAATATTTTTTTGGCTACAGACCTTAGCAGAAGTAACTTTTCAAAATAGCGTTTTTCGCCATTTTTTTCAGGAATTTTTCAAAGCTAGTAAATGTAGTATTTTTCAACTTCCTTTATACTACATAGATAGAAAAACTGTTGACGTTTACACCACTATATTTAGCTTTGCAATATTCCAATTAGTTTTGCTACTATAACAGTTTTACGCCGTGTCAGAGGACTGTCCTGAGTACCATACCTGGCTTGTCCAGGGTGTTGTGTAATGCATTATAATGGTTCTGGTGGGTCAGCAAGCCAGTGATGGTTGTGGAACTACCAGTGGCACCAAGTGCCCGGAAAAACTGACCTATCACCACCCCTCCCTAGTCGCCACTACCAGGATGGCAAAATAAGCCAAAAAGGGTAATTACACACACAGTCTTTGACTTTAATTTGGACCCTGTTTCATGATCCTATTCCTAGTTTCTATAGAGATCGAGATATGATTTTTCAAAGTAGCCAATAGTCGACAAAATTTTTGTCCAAATCGCCTTAGTCCAGGCGCTGCTCTGAATGTGTTCTACGAGTTTACTTTCAAGACTATTATGCAAGCTGCGTAATTTTAGGAAGCTTTCTGAAAGTTGGTATATCGACAGAGGATAAAATTGTGCTAATTACTGCCTAGTTAACTCATCTTCAAAAAAATTATTTCTATTAGAAAATTAACGATCAAAAATAAACCGAGATTCGGTTCTGCTCACTTCTAAAGTACTTTATTACCGCCAGTGTGGAATTCTAGAGGGATATTAAATTAACCAGTACACATAGCATATTGGAAAGCAGGACCTGAAAGGTTGGAAAGTCCAGGAACTTTCCACTTCCAGTCCATTTTATTATATACATTATACATATCCTATCACTTTTCAACTGTGATTGGTTTATGGGATTGTGATTTTAGCCCCTTCCAGCTTTCCAGCTGTGATTGGTTAATGAAGTTGTAATGTTATCTGCTTTCTAGCTGTGATTGGTTGCTGGGGATGCTTTCAAGCTGTGATTGGTTGATGGGGATGCTTTCCAGCTGTGATTGGTTGTGCCCATAAGCCCCGCCCCCAAATATGGTATATATACTACAGTACTGGTTAACTAAACACTTAACTTAAACTTGATCATTACAAACAAAAAGCCTGGAAAAATTTCAAAAATCCATTAAATAAAAGAAAAATAGAGAATATCCATCAAACAAGAGACATTCAAAGAATTTTTTAACAAATCTGAGGTACTATACAACTGAAACAGTTTGTCCACTTTTGATCCTCCTTTTCATTTATAGTCAGTCACCTGGCAGAGCACTGTATCTAAGGAAAGCATTCCACCTTGGGTGGAAAGCTTTTTTATAAGTGAACCTCCATTTCTAGAATTCCACCCTGATTATTTTACCGCAACACCCAATGTTGTAGTTTCAGATCAATAAAAAAATATTTTATTTTGTTTTCATGCAAAGATAGATATATATATTGCTTTCATCAATGGACACAAATTTCGTAATTTTTTTATTACTTGCATTTGAAAATAAAACTAGGTATTTCTCTAAGCAGTAGTTGACTTCAAACCATTCCCTACCATGCCTATTTAATTGCATCATTGAAATTTTAAATTTGAAAGAGTAATAAGATTTTATAAAAATATGTATTTTTCATTTGAATGTACCACAGGCACATGTGTACACATCGCGATTCTGAGAAGTACAGCGTGTACATATAGCATATATGGCGCACATCGCGGCCAACGTGTTAGGGTAAGGCAAAGTTAGTTCAGGTTAGGTTAGTTCTTGTTGGGTTACGTTAGGTAAGGTTAGGTGAAGTAGGGACTGTAGGCCCTAGTGTAGGGTTAGGTGAGGTAGGATTAGGTTGGGACAGGTTAGGTTAGGATATGTCAGGCTGTGTTCAGTTCGATTAGGTTAGGGTTTTTTGGCTAGGTAAAACTAATGTAAGATTGTTTTAAACACTAATGATGCACACAGGAAAAGGCCACAATTGGGGGATTGCTGTGTGTCGTAGGAAATGTGTGGCAAGAAGAAGAGAGAAAAAGAAAAAAATTAAAAAAAAGTATAGCGGCTGATCTGGTTCGACCCACGGCATAGAGACGGACGGCTTGAAGTGTTGAAGGCTACGTTCCGGAAGGCAGGAATCATGATGGTCCATTACATCGGGTACGCAGCCGTGCACCACTAAATTTGCGCACCAATCAGCCTTGAAAGGAGCGCCTACGTAGCATTTTTCCGGATGACCATCAATCAGCCACGGATTAAGCCATCTGTCGGTAACCAGCCCGTGACATCATCTTGCTTTAAATATTAGGAGGTTTACGCCACCACATTCTGAAGCGAATAGCCCAGAGAGTAATGGTTAGGTATGCACCACTGAACGTTGCATCGAATCATCACTTCATACCCTGACTTTAGCTCGAACTGTAACTTGCCGACAACGGACTGCGAGTCTACGACCAACCAGCCCAGGTCGCCAGTGGAACTGCATGCATCCTGCCGAGTGCCGTGCACCACCAGACCGTCACTTTTAGCTCAACATCCGGGGTTAGGTTTCAGAAAGCATAGTTCTGTTCCAGACTCTATCGTCCGCCAGCGAGTGACTTCCGCAGCTTCGCTAAATTACGTAACTTTTAGCTCACAGCATCTGGGGTTAGGTTCCAGATAGCACAGTTCTGTTCCAAAATTTATCGTCGTACGACGCGTGGCCGTTCGACCGTGGGCTGATTCGACACACGGGACAGATACGGACGGCTACGGCGCGCTCTGTCCGGGTGGTGTAAAATTTTTTCGCGTGTTGGCAGACAACGCTTGGCCATACGACGCCAGGCTTATTTTCCTGTGGGCTGATTGATCTAATTCTATGGATGTGATCTGTCTGGTGGCGTGCGGCTGATAACGTTACAGCCAAGATGTGTTGTAGGCTACGTTCTTCAGGGAAGGGATCATGACCAAGGGATCATCCACAGCAGTGGTGGTCTCCGACAGGCGTCCCCATTACATCCAGGGCAGTGGTGGTCTTCGGCAGGCGACCCGTGTCAACATGTTAGTTGTTACTTGTTAAGTTGTTACCAGTTACCATTTACAGGTATTTTTTATGTTCCAGTTTGCTTGCTTACAGTTATTTTTACAGGGAGCGCAGCTCTACACCACAAATTTAGCTCGTAAACAAGCCCTAGCGCCAACGCCTACCCTATAATGCAATAACTAAACTCAGCTCACACCCAAGAAGCTGTAGGTAACTGAGTCATCTCCCCACACCAACTTTAAGGGGAGCGTCTGGGTCCAAAATCGACAATATTGGCTTTTCCGGTTTTTAGTCTCACCTTAAAGCTGACATTCTGCCCTATACAACGGTACCACTGCCATCTCTCTACGTTGATTTATGATTTCACGACATTTCATGAAAGGGGGGCGGGTGGGGGAGTTCTTCAAGTAATTAGATAGGAACTATTTAGCTGCTGAGCTCTTTAAATATAGTGTCTACTTGAGTTGTGCTGCAGTACGTGTTTAGTCTCATCTTAAAGCTGACATTCTGGCCTATCCAAAAAGTATAATGTTTTCCATGATGGTTACTCCAACAAAATGAAGAGAGAAACGAGTATTTTGAAACGGAAAGAAGACCTTATTAGTCAGGGTTTAGTTGTTCCCGTCGCTGTATTTTTAAGGGCTAGAATATGGAGTATAAAAAAGACGTACAGACTCGAGTTGTTGAAGGTGATCACACTATCCATCTTCACAGACCTCACTCGACGGCTTCTAACGACTCACTGGCGGGCGCGAACGAGAAGATAGCGGCACCTTATACTCTCCTCGTGTGTACAGGCTTACTAGCCGGATAGTCACCAAGCGACCGACACTAGCCAGATTTACTAGCCGTCTGCACTATCCCTGTGTACAAGCACCTTTACTGGCCGCAGACCACGCCGGATCACCGTAAAACTGCTCTGCTAGATGCAGGACTGGCGTAATCGCGCCGCACTCCACGGGCAGAAGCGCAAACCGCCGTCCCTATAACGCCATGCCCCGGCTCTCCCCCTTTCGCAGCCATAAGGCTTTATTCCATTGCTGATCAGTTGTGCGCCAGGTTAGGTTAGGTTTAGGTTCGGTCCCTCCATCGCGCCAGGCGCATTACTGATCGGGCAACGAGAAAAGCCTTCTGCTGACTGCGAAGGGGGAGAGCCGGGGCATGGCGTTATAGGGACGGCGGTTTGCGCGTTTGCCAGTGGAGTAGAGCGCCATGAAGCAGTGGCTGTGACGTAACGGCGCTGTTATGTCGGGCGCTTATTTTCAAAAGCCGCGAATACGCCAGGCTGTGTTTAATACAAGCACGCAACAGTTTGGCTATTTGCCCACGGCTGTTGCTTCGGCGGCTTGATGTTATCTGGCTGATTGATTCATTTGCAGGAAGGGAAATGGCACCTATGGCTTTAGGCACTTAATCACACAGGCTAATATGCCCTCTGGCGTGATTACGAGCGGAAAGGAATAGATATTGAATTGTGGGCAAGGGCTATGTAGGGGTCTATACTGCGTCCCTTTTTATACAGTTATTTTTATGTTTCACCTTCCCTACATGGATGTCTACTTTAATCTACCAATCTCAAAAATAATCCACATATATATACAAATAAAAGACTGATTTTTTATATGTATAAGTGGATAATTTTTGAGATTGGTAGATTAAAGTAGACTCCATGTAGGGAAGGCAAAACATATGAATAACTAAACTTTATTTACTGTATCTAACCCGTCCCAGTTCGGTTAGGTTAATTGCAGTAAAATTGCATTGATATGTTTTGAAAATGTTTAATTATCATTAAATGTTTATGAGTAAATCCCAATAGCAGAACAATAAATATTTAGAGATTTCCAATAATTTTGGCCATTGTGGGGGCGCTACATTTTACTGTAGCGGTAGCGGTAGCGCCCGCTACAATCTAGTGGGTGTAGCGGTAGCGCCAGCTACATTTAGAGCATGTAGCGGTAGCGGCGCTACATTTCAAAGTAGCGCTGCCCCGCTCTGCTGATAGGTCGCATTACGTCGGGCGCTGGTTACAGATTGAATGCCGGCAAGATAATGAAGCTATATGTACTTGGATGAAACGTATAATGGTGGACAGTCATTACACGCGAGGCCAGTAGTTAACGTATTTGGTGGTGTAAAGAACACAATAATTTGAAAAGATATTTACACTAATTCAACTGCAGAAATCGCTGAACTGACACACACGAAATCACAACGAACTTTTTGTCTAAGGTGATTAAATTTCTAGGATTGGTACAGCAGTCCACAAGAGACGCATGCGAAACAGATTTGCATAGTCATCCCTCGTAAATCAAAGCTTTCACAAAGGAATTTCAACATCTGATAGGAGGCAACAGTTCGGTACGTAATGAGCCCCTTACTGATTAAACACTGTACGCATCAGACTCTTTGTTTGTGAGTCTCGAGCTGGTCAAGCCTTTCAACACCCGAATATTGGTCAGCTGGAATAGGTCGAGACAAGTTTCCGAATCGTCATGTTGGTTGGGGCATTCCTCGAGGACTAGTATAAGGATGTGAATTGCCTCGTTTTGACATCGCTAGCAACTAAGATCTTGTGATTTCCATCAGTAACTGAACATCTCACGGGGACTTATCAAATAATCATCGAGTGAACGCTCTGAAATAGGGGCTTCCGTATTGTAGGAGTTTGAATACACTATCGTGCCAATTAAAAACGTCCGATTCAAATCAAAGAAGAGAAACTCCAGACTGGCGACCGAAATTATTTTATTTAAGCATAGAATCTTGTCAAAAATTACATCCTCAGCAATTCATTCCGAAAACTATACAATTTAACAGTAAGGTCTAAGCAAATGTTTCATAATTACAGCATACAACCCAAACAAATGCACGCGCGTGAACCTCTATCGAGACCACTATGGCAATATGTGTGCGCATTTGGAACATCAAACTTGAACTACATCTAAGAACAGATTTTCATTCAATTTAGACTACAGAACTCTGATCACAAAAGATTTAGATTCAATTTAGACTACAGAACTCTGATCACACGAGAGAGAAAGATCAACATAATCTTTTTTCAACATGGAACATGAACGTCGCAATACGCCACAGATAAAGGAACATTCAATTCAATAGGTAGTTGAGATTATACATGGAATACAAGCAACTACAGGAACAGGAATGAAATAGATAATATTAATGGCGCATTTCAGATGTTCCCGTTCAAGGACATCAATAGTTCCATTGAATAAAACTGGCAAGTTTTAATGCCACACTAATTTCCCCTGCACTGCACTTCAAAATAAAAACAGAATTGTATTAGCACAACAGTGAAACTCAAATATTTATGAACGCACCATCTAGAAACATGTCGAATTTCCAGTAAACGAACCAATGGACAAAATGAGCAAAATGCATACCGCAACAGGATATGCAGGGACTAGGAGTTGTTTTTGCTGTCGATTCAATTGCAGCTGCGTCTGACAGCTCTGATGGCGCATGAAAGCCTCCCACTGCAGTAGTTAATGGTAGCCACACAGTGGCAGCCCGGCCTTTTTCCAAGGTGTCGCCACGGGTATGCAGTCGGAGCTGTAAAATTATGTGGCCACGAACGTGACAAAATATATCGGTTTGCGCGTTAGAAGCTTAGTATCTCAGGTGCTCCGGTCTACGGTAGCTATCCCAGGGCTGCTACCCGCGCGGGTCAATAGAGCTGCTAGTAGGACCACGACTATGCCGGCCTGCTGAAGAGAGATTACATTTTCTGTGTATGGTAAGCGTAAGTTCTAAAGATGATTGAGATAAGTTAGAGTCATTTTTCAAAAGTTATACATTGGTTTCAAATTACTAATAGCTGCAGTTTTGAAGAAAAGAACTGCCCGTAGTAATCAATACATGGGAACATCAAACTAACTTCAATAAAACCTAATATTTCCGTTCGGTGAGGGAACGACAAATTTACCGTTATAACGTGAATGAAAACTTTACTTCAGTGAGTCAATAATGTACCAATGACCAAGCAGCGCGCTGCGTTAAGAGCCAGAAAATGCACAAAAGTCTCCTTTATGTATGTTTACGTTCGCCAAACAGAGACCAAACATAGCGTGACCTGAGGCAATGACAGGCAAGGAACTAGTATATGCCAAGGACAGACAGGAGTCAGAGATGGCCGTGCTGCTGCTGCTGCTGGAGCCGCTCTCGCCGTACGCGCTGCAGCTCCGTGATGACTTTGGCGAGAGCTTCAGGGTTGGCGCCGCTCTCGCACAGCCTTACACACAGCGCCAGGGTCGTCTCGTCCAGACCTGCGCGCACAGTTGTACGCAGCTCAGTACCTCAGCTTTAATTAATAATATTCTTGCTAACATGAGCTTCACAAGAGGACTGTTATAAAACAATGCGTATAGATAGAGTTTGTAGCAAATAAATTTAAAGAAATAAAAGCAATTATGGGTAGGTAATTTATTACTTGAATTATTAAATGGATATCAAGCAAGGTATTGGAAGAATTATATCATAGTTGGATGTTAGGAATATTGTCTGTAGGTACTTGTTTGAGCAGCTATTATGAAATAATTGATGAAACATGAGTGGAAGTAAAAAGAAAATTATTCAGGAGCATTCATAACCATTACTAATTAAAAAAATATTAACTCCTTACTCACTGCAGTGAGTGACAGAGAGCGCATTTTCTCATAGACGAAAACGTGAAGTCACGGACGGACGGACGGACGGACAGACAGACGGACAGATGGACGGACATGGCAAGCACAATCGTGCATTTTTTTCATAAATGAGAAAATGCACTAAAAACACTCATATTGTAATAATGTCTCTAATACGGTAGTCTATTGAAAGCACTCCACTATTAATATTGTTGAAACCACTGTTCTATATAAATTTTCAAATTTTGCTTATTTATGCAAGATGAACCAATGAAACAAATTCAATGCAAATTTTTCTTATGCATGGATAACTCAATTTACATACATACAAAGCATAGATATTTTCACCAATATATTGATCACATCCAAATGACTATGATGGGAATTGTGAACATTGTCAGTAAAACAGGACTTCAAGGCGGCATGTCTCCATTGAACACTGGAAAATGTGGCAATTCAAAGAATCTTGATTATTGATAAGGTTCCTCCCAATAAGAATACAGAAATTTTTTGATCATTGGAGATTCACATTTTGTAGCATCCCTATTTCTCAATTCTAGACCAGCCCAATTACCATTAAACGTACCAGTGTTCAGCAGGCGGGATATCTCCATTAGCGTTTCAAAAGTTTCTCGGGCTGACAGAACACTTGTCTGTCCCCCTCCTTCACTCACTGACATGCTTCCTGAAATTTAAACATTTAATAATTTAAACATTTTCCTCTTGTAAGACAGAATGCCTAATTCTAATCTACAATTCAAATAGTTTAGAAAACAAAATATTAATTGTAAAAATGTACAACATAGCTAATGATGTACCGTAGAAAGTCATAAGATAATCTCTGAAAAATGTGAATAAATTAAGAATTATCAGTCACTCAAGAACAGAATATATATGTACAAGAAAAGAAGCTTTGTTCTAAATGACTTAAATTTTAATAAATAATAATAATAAATAAATTTTAATAAATAAATAAAAGGATAAAATATTTCTTGCCATAATACTTAGATTCACTCGGATTTAAAAAATGTTGATAGCAAATCACTGCAATTAATGTTGAAAATGTCTAATACATGGATACATAAACTACCTAAGACAGGACTTCGACAATACCTACATGCTAATTTGATTATTTTCATTTCTTATCTAACAAATTTGTACAAAGGTGAGTTGGGCAAATCAAGTAGAACAATATGGAAATCTATTTTATGTAGTTTTTTTATACAAAATTTGCAAAATATAGTTAAATACTTGTCAGTAAATACATTGATTATCTATCTATTGCAAAAAATGTTATAATTTATATTTTTTAGTTGTAATAGTAACAGACACTGAATAGTCAAGTACACTGAATTACAAAGAGAAGTTAACATGCATATGAAATCTTATGAGCAGAGGCTATAGAAAAAGATTAAATTGGAAAAGTGCAAGTGTTAGACATGGTCACACTGACCTGCTGTTATTTGTCACAAGGGAGCAGCTTCTACAACAATTGAAGGGAATTCAACTAGCAGAAAGGAATCATCTGTTTAAAATGTGCAACAATCTGTAAAATTAGGATTACAAATTAAACAATGACACATAAAAAAATATGAAACACATTTTTGCTATTTTTTAAAGGTTAACAAAAAATTAAAATGTAACACTCGAGAAACTATGTAAGTATTTATAGTTGAAATATGAAAGATTATAGCTGAAATATACTCACTCATCACTGAAAGTTGAGGACATAGTACAGAAAGGCAGCAAAAGCAATGATGAAAGCCATGGTGATTTGGTTCAGAGTGTAATCCATAAAGGTTTGTTCTGTCAATAGGTAGCGGGATTGTTTTTTACCCACAACAAAGTTGGATCTACTATTAAAATTCAGCAAAAAATATTTCTTCCCACTTTGAGAATTAAGGACATTAAACTGCACTTCTGTACAAGAAAGAAAAAACAGATTATGAAAAAATTAAATATGTGAAAAGTATTCTCATGTTCATTACCTACTACTAAAAACAAGCACAGATGGCCGTATGAAAGAAACAAAACCTTGTATCAAGATTTTTCTCTTGAGCTTCAGAGTCTTCAAGATACTTTTTCTATTAGTACCTATGTCTAGTCTCTCTCTTAAGACAATTTTTTTATTGCCATTTATAAGTATTTTGAGCTGTAAAAAAAACCTTCTTGCAATGGTAGCAAAGCATTGGCATATTTCCTCCAACATCAACTTTACAAAAAAAAGGAGACAAAAACAGTCATTAAATTTCACCTGTTTTGATGGGTGATGACCCTTGCCTTACTTCTCAGGTACAAATTACCCCTAATTGACTCGCATTTTTGTGTCATGCTACAACTTTGGGTGCAAAGATTTCTGCACCTCATTCTATCAGTATTTTTATATGCCTTCCATCTAATACAAGCTGCAATTATTTTACCAATCATTAATATAGATTATTTCCTATCAAATGCAGTCTTCAAACACACAACTGTGAACCCAAAACTATTTCTAAAAGTTGTGAGAGTGAAAAATTTATGAGAGCATAGCCAAATTTCTGCTTAAAAGCACAGCCATTTCCATGTACAACAACATTTACTGCTCAATATTGTGGTGATGTTACTGATGGTGAGGAGATTCTAGGTGATTCATGTTTGTATATGCCTTTATTGATTATTCTTGACATCAACATCACCTTCATTGCTGGTTTCCTTCTCAAAGTTTATTTGTTTCAATAGCTTTTTCATCTTCTTGTCCGTGCGTTCATTGCTTGCCATTGCAAAAATGGCATGAAATTAGATGCATTTCATGCTGGAACAAAAAGGAGCTAGTGGAACACTGCTATTGTGCATTGGAGTTTGGACAGGAGCAAACTTCACTGCAAACAGAGGAGCAATTACCTCTGTTCCAAAAGTTTATGCGTTGTTTACTAAGTGTCCTACCTAATTACTATAGATCAAAACAGCATGAATCAGACAAAATGAATAGTTTGGTCAAAGAGTATCTCAACACATAGTGGCAATCAAGAACATGTTTTTTTTCTAGGATCAACAGACAATTTCAGAACACAAATTGAGTTAATGCATTGCAGCACATTTGAATGATCGCTCCTACTTAAGATGAGCGTCTGCCCAAAAATTTCAGATTTTTTTTTTTGGCGTTTAGTCTTGTCTTAAAGCTGACATTCTGACCTATCCAACTGTACCATGACCATCTCTTTAAGTTGATTCATGCATTCATGACAGACCGCAAAAGGGTTAGGGGTGGTGGAGTTCTTTCGCATTTAAGATAGGCGGAAATTCCCTGTAGCACACTTAAAAGCTGGTCCAAACACGATTTGCTTCAGTTATCTGCCTGCAGTCATATGGGATGGTTCTTGTGCCGTCATTCACACCATCCTTGACAGAGATTGAGATCCAGTATCTTCTAGTCTTGCAACCTTGCACCCTTGAATGTCTATTTCAAGGCACGCATGACTTTGTCAGGCTCTACTGAAAAGTCAACTTTTTGTCACTGGAAAACTATCTCCTCCTACAGTTTTGAAGCTACGGCAATGAGAGATATCCCATTTGATTTGCAAATAAATATCTAGCAATTGGTTGTAGTTTTTTTCAATCTTGTTATAGTTTTGAAAACATTTTTTAAAAAGGGGGGAAATGGAAAAAAATAAAAAAATTTTATTAAATTTTATGAAAAATGCTCTATCACCCACAAAAATTTGAATTTCAAAAAAAGCTATGTAGAATCGATAGATATAGTCCTTATACATCGAATGACATGCACCTCAATGTTGTAGCTGGAAAATCCTAGGAGGAGATAGTTTTCTACTGTACCATCATTTTTGGCCATTTTCTAAGAATTCCATGTTTTCTTTCATTTTTTCAAAGAGTTGATACAAATAAAAGCTGTATATTTTTGGGTTTTACATATTTGTACCAAGTTTCAAAGTAATCTGTCTGTAAATTGCCAAGATAAAATTTTGGGCAGGTGCTTCCCTTAAGGTCTCAGGGAGGCGCCAGTGCAAGTTTGGAAGCGCAGTCATTGACAACCACACATGCTGCCAGAGCCAGTTCAAAATGTACTGCTGGCAACAAAGCCAAGCTGCATGATAAGCATACCTACAACACACATCAAGTTCAACTTCACATACAAAGATCACTGATTTACCTCGTGTTCATTCGTAGAGCAACTAAAAAATAAGTCTTTTATCTTTCATTTGAGATTTGCAGAATCCTCTGAAGACTGGTACAATGCGGCCCTATGACAGGGTTGTGACTTGCGAGTAATAGCTGGCACGGAATCTTTTCAATTGACACCTGAAAATATTCTCTCCATCAGTAGGGTAAATGCGCCATATTCCTACATCGTGAGTAATTCCGTCACTTCTCAACTGTTTCCTTTATATTAAGCTTTGTCTTAATTCCACTTCCACGCATGCGGAGATGGTTGAAGTATTGACGTCATACTATTGCCCGCCAGATTTACGCTAAACACTAGGTCTGGGCCATCTGGGGGAAAATGTTAAGATCCTTAGTGCGACAGTTGCACGTCACCCAGTGAGAACTTGAGACACGTGTCAAATCTGATAGTTGACCTTGCTCTACCAAATAGTGATAACGTGTTTGTGTAGAAAGAATATTATGGTTTGAGACTTAAAAATAAGTCTGTGAATATATTAGGAATCCTTTAAGTATACTTGTATTTGCTGATTTAAAGTGGTAAATAAATTAAAAGAATATTAACTTAAGAGACGGTTTTAGACACATAAAAACTAATACCAACACAGTTTGGAATTGGACACACACAGCTCATTCTGAGCCATGTAACCGTGTTCAAAAATTAAAACTTTCTTAATTAATATCTTAATAGCTCTTAATTAAAAGCTTAATTAATAAATTACAATTTTTTAATTAAGCTCGTTCTGAGTTGTGTCGTATTCCAATACAGCTCACACACGGCGTCAGAAATCCAACACAGGGAGTTGGAATTACGAATTAGTAAGAGTTTGAAGCGCTGTCGTAATTAGTCTCACAATATGCCAAATTTAGTCACACACAGCGTTGAAATTCAGGGATTTCGTAGATTCAAATTCTAAAGGCTTTTAAATAAATATGGCAACAGTTTGTGACATTTCATTGTTGCTGGTGTGTAATGTGGTGTTTGAGAGTGATGTAAAGCAATCAGAACTCAAGTTGCGCATACGGTGATCTTTATATAGCCATTCATTTCTTGGTACCTATGTCCTTAATGTGTCGGAATATGGTGTGTTTACCCTACACCTACAATTCGCTCAATCGGTACCGTCAACCGGGGCTACTCGGGACGGTTTTGAGTGTTTTTTGTTAATAACTTCTTACGATGAAACATTTCATAAACAAGTTTAGGCTCATTTTATAGCTCTTTGCAAGGGCTATCATATGGCATCTTCAAAAAATTCCATATGCTATTCGTAAGGTGCCAGTAGCAAAAAAAGAGTGTCCCGAGTAGCCCCGTTGAACGGGGCTACTCGGGACACTGGGAATAAAACTTCATTTTAAAATATTTGAAGCATGCAGAGCATACTCATCCATTACTAACAGTACTCTGAAGTCCTCCTCTTTCATTGTAGACAATGTCACAATGTAGAGGTAGAATAAATGACATTTTCTGTGACTTTTACTAGTTTTTCCTTCATTGATATGATATTACCATAAACATTAATTACTGTCAACTGGGGTGACTTCAGCTGTGTTTTTGATTCATGCTGGGGTCATAAACGTCAGGGTCATAAACGCCGGGGTCATAAACGCCAGGGTTGTAAACCAGGTCATAAACGCCTGAGTGACTTTGGCCACTGTTTATGATGGTTTATTACCCCACTTTGGCCATCATTATGAACAGGGCCCAATCACCCAGTTGACAGTACCTTATTATTGATGGGATATTACTGTATTATTGATGCCATATTATGGTATCCATGAACATGCCATTGAGCATTTACAACAACCTTGTCCACTGCAAGCTTCATATCAGCAGCATCATAGCATTTTTTCTGTATCTGTAAGCTTACAGGCTGTCTCTTATACACATCTAGATGTGTATAAGAGACAGGTCCGGGGGGGTGTCCCGAGTAGCCCCGCCGTGCGGAAATGGCTGCCATTTCTTTTTGGAATTAGATAGGCAAAATCTGTCAATTACGTTTTCAAGCCGACACCTGGGTGCAACTTTTATGTAAGTAAAATTTTTTAATACGGCAAATATTTTTTTTGCTACAGACCTTAGCAGAAGTAACTTTTCAAAATAGCATTTTTCACCATTTTTTTCAGGAATTTTTCAAAGCTAGTAAATGTCGTATTTTTCGACTTCCTTTATACTACATAGATAGGAAAAATGTTGTTGTTTAGGCCACTATATTTAGTTTAGCAATATTCCAATTAGTTTTGCTCCTATGACTGTTTTACGACATGTCAGAGGTGCGTCCCGAGTTGCCCCGCCAGTCCCGAGTTGCCCCGGTTGACGGTATCAGGGCTTCCTGCCCAGAGGCTGCTGAGCCCCCTTGAGTCTGCACAAGTTACTTAATTAATTACATTAATCATAGGCTCTTTTGAGTTGTTTTATTAAAAGCACTATTTTGTTCTTCTCATCAGGCTCATGGATCTTATTTATTGATATCTTTCCTTACAGGAAACCTATTACAGTATTAGTATATTCAGATCTTTGTTTTCTGAGTTTGTTTTTCCAGCCTTGTCACTTGACTAGGAATTCTTTCAGGTTTTCATTTCTTTTGAAAACATGGTTGGTGATGAGGGGAAGATACGTAGGTCTGAGTTCGGGGTCATCATTTATAACATTCCAGTGTTTATTTAGAGCCTTCCTCAGTAAATGGCTCAGTTCATGGTTAGAAGTGCCAGGGGCCACTGGCCAGGGGGGCGATGAGTGTGTCAGGTTGTCTTTCGTCACTTC